CGGTGGCCTCTTCGTCACCCTCCTTTCGGGGGGTGATGGCAGCCAGGTGGCCCGGACCTCCCTCCAACCTCTGCCCCGCTCCTCTCGCCTCATCATCACCCTTCCCGTGGATCCTAGACCCTTCAGGGACAGTAACATCACCATCAGTGACCCGCCAGGGGCCGGGGACTGTCTGTCCTTCTCCATCATCAACCGTGGCAGCGCCATCCTGGTCATCTCCCGTGGGACGGCCATCCCCAGGGCTTCTGGTGATGCTGTCTCCATGGCTTTGGGGTCCTTCAGGCTCTCCACCGGCAGGGATGCCGTCATCGCCATTGCCATCGTATGCCACAGTGACATCCAGCCCAGGCAGGGGGCTGCTGGTTCCCACAGAGGGGATGCTGTCATCCTCGCTGCCAACAGTGGTACCAGCCTGGGTGGTTTCTTGCTCCCCTACATGGATGTTGGCCCTCCTAATGAAGATGTTGACCTCGTCATCCTTGTCTGGAGATATCTGAGCAAAGCTGGTGGCCTTCACTGTGCTGCCCACCTTCCCGTGGGTGACGGTGACGCTGCCTGAGTCGGGGATGTAAGGGTATTCATCCACACCTTCACCATCAACTTGAACATCCTCCATCTTCTCGGTGACAGAGGTCAGTGCTGTGACTCCTGTCCCTGTGCCCCAAATGACATTCTCCTGCCCTTGGCCAGGGACGGTGGCCTCACCGCTGCCCTCCTCTCCAGCCCCTCCAGTGGCAGGTTCCCTCTCCCTCTCGACTGTTGTCGCCCCCTTCTCTGGAACCCCCTCAGGAGCACCACTGTCCCTGTCCTCACTCCTCACACCAGACCTGTTCCTCATCACGGACTCACTGGGATGTTTGCCCTGGGGGAGAATGGAAACACCACCATTGACTTCAGCCACCAAATCCAAGTCACCACTGCCCTCCAAGCTGGCCGGGGTGGAACCCATGATGCCAACACCACCACGTGCTTGCGTCCTGGTGCCTGGGCGAGGACTGTGAGCATCCCCGCCAGCACCTGGAGTGCTGCGGTTTTTGGGCTGGAGGCTCATCCCGATCTCCATCGCATCGGTGCTGCCATTGTCACCTCGCTCCAGGGCTGGCCTGTCCTCCGTCGGCCTCCACCTGGCATTGTCCTCACCCAGACGTTGACTAGGGATGGTGGTCCGGCGCTCAGCTTCCTCCTTCTGTGCAGCACACACAAGGCAGAGGTCAGGGCCAGCCCTGCATGGGGTTCCGCAGCCAAGCCGGGGCCCTGCCATGTCACCTGGCCATCTCCTCACCTTTATCTGCGTCTGGTTCCTCTGTGTCGAAAGTGAGAAGACATATTCAAAAACGTAGAAGCCACGCTTGGCATTGCAGCCTTTCAGCAGTATCTGGTGGGAAAGAAAATAACCAAACCCCACAATTTTCTTATTAAATGCAACGGCAGTAGCTTCCCTTGCTGTGGCTGGCACCACAGCAGGCTCCCACCAGCACCCGCTGGGGCCCCCAGTAGCTCCCCTCCTCGTGGCCACCAGCACTGGCAGGGACCTGGGCAGGACACGTGTGTTTGCCTCCTGGGCTCCGCGGTTTGTTTTCCCCTTGGGCTCTTTTTCTGCCTTTGCTTCCATTCAGGAGCTGCGGATTGGGTTTTTTTTGCAAGGTAGCTTATGGCTTGAATAAACAACCTGGTTGATGGTCCCATCAGACATGAGTGATGGGACCGATGGTCACTGAAGCACTGGAAGGACAGCAGCTGTCTTCCAATAGGCAAACCCAGGCATTTTCTTCTGTGCTACTCATCTGAACTTTGCTACTGACGCATTTTATATTGATAATACCTTGAAAAAAAAACCATAGCAGCTTGGCCTGAGACTTTTACAACCTCACCTGTGGGAACACCAAGCATTTGTGCTCTGGGGCTGGGCAGGGGCAGAGGAGCAGCTGTGAGGTGAAGCCCTTCTCTCTCGTCTGAGCACATCACAGCTTTGCCCTCCGCTGATCTTTGTGAGGGCTGCCTGAATGCAAGAGGAAACTGGACTATTTTTCCATGGCTAGCTGAGATTCTCTCCAAAAGAGACTTTTTCTCCCTGTGCCCCCAGTGCAGGGCACTCCATGGGATCCGCATGGGACGAGGAGGAACATACCCGGTGCTGTCCCCCGCAGTTCCCTGCAGCTCTCCCAGGCAGCGGCGGTGGCACCTGCGGCAGCAAAACATACGTGAGAGCCAAGGCTTCAGATGCTGCCTAAGGCTTCAGGTGCCGCCCCGCCATCCAGGCGGCTGCCAATGCCTGCTGCCAGATGCCTGCCCTGCTCAGCGTGATGCGCATGCCATGGCGTCCAGGGAACGGTGGGAAAACTGTGTTGACAAGTCGATAAATTCCCAGGCATTACCTGGCATGCCAGCTTAAAGCCAGCAATAGGAAAGGTCGAAAACCCATTTCCAAGGTCTGAAAAGTATTGCAAATCCTGCTACAGCATGTTTGCATTGCATGCTGCAGATGCCTGCCCTGCTCAGCGTGATGCGCATGCCATGGCGTCCAGGGAACGGTGGGAAAACTGTGTTGACAAGTCGATAAATTCCCAGGCATTACCTGGCATGCCAGCTTAAAGCCAGCAATAGGAAAGGTCGAAAACCCATTTCCAAGGTCTGAAAAGTATTGCAAATCCTGCTACAGCATGTTTGCATTGCATGCTGCTTTTGCTAGGATATCGTTGGTCCACAAATACCGTTTTACTGGATTCTGCTGCAGAGTATTCTTATTGCAGAGCAGTTTTAATACCTGGCACCACTGCTCACACCACAATGCTCCAACTTAATGGCTGGGGTCTGACTGCGATGGGAGCCTGGAGCTGGTTAACTTGTGGTGACTCCCAGTGTTTACTGGGCAACTGAGCAGCAATGCCTGTGCCCTCACAGCCAGGTTTCTGTATGTGTTTGCAAGGTTCTGGCTTCCCCTGATTATCCCGGCATCTTTTGGGATGTGTTGGCAAGTGCATCCCTCAGGGATGAGGGACCTGGATGTGGGACCATCTTGTGAGCCCCACCAAACCATTTTGGGGCATTCCTTACATGCCAGAGGAATAGATGGCCCCATGGAGGGGAACCTCCTCCAATCTCAGAAAAATCAGCCACTGAAACGCCCCAAGCTCAGCTGAAACAGGCAGAAATGCATCCCAGAGTATTAAATATTCCCATCTTATTCCATTGTTTGTGAACAATGCCAAAGGCTGGATTACAGCCCCAGTTATGCAGCAGAGTTATTAACCAGCTCTCTTCTCTGCCCCTATCTGAAAAGCAAATCTACGCTGATTTATTGCCTTCCCCTGTGCTGCCTTGTGACAGACCCGGTTGTGCAAGCTTACCCTGGGGGGCTAAAGGACACATGGCCAGGTCCCAGCCCTCAGGGAAGATGTGGTTTTCCTCCTCCTTACCCTGCTGGAAAAGCAAGTCTTCACTGGGAGAAGATTTTTCATTCTAGCTGTGTATTTCGTATGTCGGGCAACAGTTACTCAGGACAAAAATGGCTGCTATTGTATTTATCCCAGTTTGCCCCTTGTTTCAGTTATATCCTATTTCACATTTTGAGAGCTGGAATATAATTGCAGGTGTACCTCCGACCCCTGTTACCCACGTGGGTAAGGCAAGCATCCTCCCCGAGCCTCCCTTCCTGTGGCTCCCCTTGGGTTGTTCCCAGGCCCAAAGCTCTGGGCAGATCCCAAATCCGCAGAAATCAAGGGCAAGAGTTACAGGGACTCAGAGCGGCCTTTGTGCAATGCCCTAACTTCTAAATTAAAGGGACATGCTCAGGCACCTCAGTGCTAATATATATTTTTCCTGCTGGCTTCACCTCTGTGCCAACACCAAAACCACCCCCCCTCCATGCTCCAGAGGTGCCATATGCAAGTACAACGCATGTTTTTGTGCTGCTGAGATCATGCTGGGGCGCACCGGGTGGTACACCCCATGATTTCAGTGGCACGCTGGGAACTGGGGCGCCATACTCACCGGTGTCGAGAGGGCCGTGCCGAGCAGGCACAGGCACAGGCACAGGCACAGGAGGGCTGTTTGCATTTTGGGCAGCTCCTGGGGGCACAAAGTGAAGCATCACTGGAGTTTATCTTCCTGAGGCTTACAGTCTCCAACAGTCCCAGGGTCAGCAGCAACTCAAAAGCTCCTGCTGTCCCAAAGCCCCATGGCAGTGGGGTTATCCAGCGATCCCAGCTTTCCTCCGCCTTTGCGGTGGCCCTCTGCATCGCTTTGCCTCTCTGCACTCCTTGCAGCAAAAGCGATACTCTTGCCATGTGCATACAGCAGCAAGGACATGTGCACAGCCAGCAGCACTGAGTGGACACTCTGACACCGGGTGTTAAAGCTTCTTGACTCGCTCTATCAAAGCAGCTTGGGTGGGTATTTGTGATAAATGACCACCAAAACCGCTGCAGGCTAAGCCATATAGTCGTTGAGTCTGAATTAAGAAACTTGCATGCTGTTCTCAGCAGCACCGATAAACGGCAGGAGGCAATAGCTCTGCTAGCTAATAATTCTCTTTTCACTCATCCACCCCGATTTGGGCTTGCAGGTCCGCCTTGGAGACTACGTTCAGCCATGCAAGCGTTGCTACAGAAAACATTGGAAGGAAATTCATGCACAGGGATCAGCAGCACGAAGCAACATAGGCTCAAGAGAGTGCCACGCAGAGATGCATGCAGCCGAGGCTCAGGCCGTCTCCCTGTCCCCACCATGGCTTGCCCAGAGCGAAAGCAGGAGATGCCCTGCTCAGCGAGGGAGAGCCAAAGGGCTGAGGAGAGACAGGGCAGGCAAACTAGGTAAGAAGATTACCTTTCGCTGTCAGAGGCAGGTCCCAGTGGCAAACCGTGGAGGCTGTGCCCACTTTGCTGAAATTTAAAGTTGGCCCCGGGTGCGTGTGGCCAATCAGCTCCTGCCCAGGGACATTTGTCAGGGCTGGCAGCGCCCGCAGATAACCAGGGGGAGTAATTTCCAGCTAAAAATGTGTTTGTGGTGGAAGACAGCTATCAAATGTTCCACCTGGCTGGATAAACAGAAAGCACGGTTTATAAATATCTGTTCTGAAGGCGAAATTGCTCGATGATTAGCGCAGATCTTAGCGTGGCACGCATCCAGTCCGGTCATTGATAAGAGGGGGTGCAATGGGTCGTAGTGTGCTCACTGTGACTGGCATGGGAAAGCTGGCAGGGCTGCAGAAAGGAAAGGGCGATACACAGAGCCTGGCCCGGCCATGGCCACAACCAGCACTGCGGGGCAGCACTGGCCAAGCCGAGAGCCACCGCTGTGCCGTAGCCTCCGATACTCGCTTTCTGGGTTTCGACCTCAACCCCCCTGATCCGAGCCCAGTGCAAGTGTAAGATACAAGAGTGGTAAAAAAGAGAAAAATAAAAAGAGGATTTTTTTCATGCACTGCTTGTACTGGTCACTTCGAGCCCAACTTTGCTGCGGGAAGGTGCTATGAGGATGTGCACAATGTATGTACTCTCCTCCTGCCCCCCTCTAGCTTGGGTGGTGTTGCTGGTCGCCTACGCAGATGCCAAGGGGGGTTCCCCCTGCTGTGGCCAGCCTGGCTCACTGCAGTGATGGTGACAACAGCTCCCATCCCACCTGCCACCCTGCCCCAACCCAAACCCTGGGAGCAGGCACGACCACCACATTAGGCATTTCTGGTGTTAAACCATCACCATCCAGCCTCAGGCAGGAGCAGATCTTAAAGCCAGGAGGAAACTTGTCCTTTCCCCTCAGCCAGGGAGCTGCGGAGCAGCTGGCTAACACACCTTGGCTCAGGGAGGCAGAGCTTTGGCTGGGTGCCCAGGGGGGCTGACGCACACGAGACCAGGCAGGGTGCCCCATGGGAGTGGGATCTGGCCCCCAGCAGTGCCAGGGCACTTTATGGTGGTTCCCTGACGTCTTTGGGCACCCCCTGGGGATGTAGACAATGAGGCTCTCGTGTGTCCCCCCCCACCAGCACGTGCAGGGCTCCCCAGGGCCACCATAGGGATTTGGCTCCAGCGGCACCCACCCTGCAGGCAGCACCCGCTGCCACCCCAGCAGCTGCAGCCTTGGCTTTGGCACATGGAGGAGGTTTTGTAGAGCAGCCAGCAGCTTGCTGCCGCGAGAATAGAAACTTGTTTTACAGTTGGACCTATATCAGGAGCTGAACACAGGGTTCCTTTCAAGGGGTGCGAAGGCAGTGCAGTGCCACTGTAACCCATGCATGAAGGCCGTCACTTTTCCTAAACGGGGGCACTTGCCTGGAACCCAGTGGGATTTGGTCCTTCCCCACCCCTGGTGCTGATCCCCAGTTGGCTGGGGCCATGCTCCTGTGGAGAGGTGACTCTGGGCAGGGATGCTGGGAAGTGCAAGCTGGGCATCCCATCCCTGATGCAGGAGGCGAGTGGATGCACTGCTGTCACTGTGACAGCCTTACCTTCCCCTGGGGACAAGGCTGCGTGGTGGGGAGACACATGGACCATTTTGGGCTGCAGCACCAGTGCCCAAAATACATGTCCAAGGTGCCTCAGCCTGGCACCGGGATGGAGAAGCAAAGCTTTCATTAGATGGGTGTGCACCTACAGCTAGTGACACAGAGAAAGAGAAATTAATATCTTTACCTTTATTAATATTGCCTGGTGTATGGTCAGGCCATGGGAGGCATGCTACCGAGGAGTGGAAAATGGTGAAGTTATTGTCGCCCACGTATTGCAAATTCACGTCAACTCTACATAAGACGTGGCAGTAAATCCCACAGCAGTGACCCTAAAAACGCCCTTTCATTTTTTGGAGGGGACTCCACAGAGGCTTTTCTACTTAGCTTTTCTGATCCTCCCTCGTTTTGTGTGCATCTGAGCTGGAATAAAGAGATTTAACCCTGCGTAGCATGAGCACTTGTAGCCCCTCAGCCGACCGAGCACCGTGCCACCCTGCTGACCCTGGCAAATTCGGCAGCAAACCCTTCGTCACCAACAAGCTCAGTTCTGTTGCTTTATTTCATTTCGCTTTGTGAGATACAAAAAAAAAGCCTGGGACGGAGCCGGTGCGCAGCGCAAGCCGCGCGGTGTCCCCTCTGGCGTGCGGCGGCTGCAGCGAGCCTTTGGATGCACATTCCTGAGTGGGATGAGGCAGGCGAGGGGCAGCAGTGGGGCCACCCCCCCACCCGCTCACTGGCTGTAGTAGTAATCCTGGCCATACACGTCGTAGCCGTGTCCCTTGTAGTAGCTGTACTCGTCCTCGTAGGCCCGGTAGCTGTCCCCACGGGCATACTCGTCCTGCTCCCCATAGCTGCCATCGGTGGTGCCTTCATCGCCGTGGCCCCTGGCTGTCACCTCATACTCCCACTGCTCCGCAGCTGTGGTGGCGTCCGTGGGACCTCCATCTCCTATGGTGGTCGCCTGGGACAGACCCTCTTCACCAGTGGTGCTGGCGACAGTGGTCGCTTCAGTTTCCTCCTCCTCTTCCTCCTCCTCCTCCTCCTCTTCTTCTTCTTCTTCCTCTTCCTCCTCCTCCTCAGCTGCACCGGTGCCCTCCTCAGCTGCCACAGTGCCATTGCCGTGAGGTCCGTCTGCCCCCTCGGTGGTGTTGGTGCTTGTGCCGTTGACGCCATTCTCGTTCTCGGCTACCTCTTCTTCCTCCTCCTCTTCCTCTTCCTCATTCTCATCACTGTCTTCATTTTCAGAGTCACCCCCTTTGCCGGCAGCACCGTTTCTGTCACCCTTCAGGGGCCCTTGGCAGCCCTTGCCCTGGCAGGGGGAACATAACGCAGCATTAGTTGGGTGTCGGGAGGTTGCAGCTTTTTGGCATCGCGTGGCGTGATGTTGGTGTGGGTACAGCTGAGAATCCCCCTCATGCCTTGCATGGCAAGGCTGCCTTTTTGGGGTGTCCCTTCCAACCCTCCTACTGGGTTAATGCCCAGAGGCTTGGCCCAGCTGCGTACATCTTGTGCAGCAGACCCCCAAGTAGAAACAGGGTGGAGGGCGTTCCGTGGGTGCAAGGGAGCATGCACTGAACATACCCTCCCTGCCCTGCATTAGTGCTCCACTCCAGCCCCCCAAAACACACCTGCTGGGGGGATGCGATGTCTCCTCCCAGTCCGCCCTGGCTGTCTCCAGGAGCTGTTCCAGCAGGGTGGCCAACTGCCTGGGTGCCAGCATGGGATGGCTCCTGCAGGGACAGGCAGAGGAGGGGGCTGGTGGTCAGCAGCATGGGTGGAGCACAGCCCTGCCAGCAGTGAGAGGGGCAGGCAGCATCCCCGCGTGGCATTTGGGCACTGCTCCGAGTTTCCTACTTTCCCACGGGTCTCGCCCCAGGCTGAAGTCTGCAGCAGGGCAGCCCAAGCCATGCAATTAAGTGGTGGTGGCTGGAGTCGGGTGTTCTCGTTCTGACTACACATTTTGCTTTACAAAGCATCTAAAGGTTTGCTTTTGAAGTTTCCTCTCCCAGTTTCCAATAAACAAAGCCAGTCACAGGTTCACTCTATGTGGACACACTGCACATCAGGTGTAGATAGCTGGAGAGAGTGAGATGGCTCACAGGGTCACTGCCATCCCTGCCCTGGGCAATCCCAAGACCAACTTGGGATTTTTTGGGCCAATTCAGACACTTAATATATGGGTGCATCTCATGCCAGAGAAAACCCAGGCTTTTTTCCTCTCCACTGGAGGAGTCACCAAATTGCACGGTGCAGGTGGCTGTGCCGATGGGAGCGATATCCCTGATCTAGCGGATGATATAGTGGTGCTCCTTACATATCTACAACTGACCTTGGGGCCTTTCAGCACACTGTCTTGCTGACCACCCCCTGCCAGTGAAGGCAGGCAGCATCCCT